GTTCATTTACTTGACCTAACGCAAATGAAATTTAATCTTTATGGTCATATTTATAATATTAATTCTTTAGTCGACATTATAAAACCTAGTATTACACTTGTGAGGTTGAGGGAATGCAAGAAAATACATGTAGGGTCAACAATAATTGGGTGCGTGAAGAAGAGGGAATCGTTGTGAAAGATTTTTAGAATATAGGAAAGCGTAATTACCAATTTGCCACAACTGCTTAAATTTTAAAAGAATCCAAGTGTGAAAAATGGTCCACCATAAGCAATTATACAAAATTACAAACCCCAAATCTGTTTGCATTCTAGTTGGGATTTCTCTATCAAATTTGTTAGAATTATCGATGTGTTTAATCTTTGTGGACCTATATCTTTTTGACCCGTGTGGAATTCTATGATAAAAAATTTAAAAACTAATCATTTTTGGTTTTATGAATTCTTATTTTTTCATCATAAACATTAAGATTGGAGACAAAAATCGACTTCTATGGACCTTATGTCACCTCATCGATCCTACTCGCTTTATTTATTTAATGTAAAGATTTAATTACACACCCGTATAATGAAAAACAAAAGTAATAACTAATAATGAACAATTAACTTTTTAGTTTTTATCTCCACAGGTTGCACTCCTTTTTGTAAGACCTAATCAATATATAACACAATGTAATGGTTTAATAAATACATTTAGATCATTAGCTAAAGTCAGAAACACCTTGGAAAGACAATTGAAGTACGAGACATCAAATAAACTAAAATTAGCCAAAATGTTTGGTAAATAGGTAGTTTTGAGTCATATTATGTCTTTAGACACATACCATATAGTAAATCTATCTATTTGAAAGACTTTAATTGCTAATTTAGTTAACTCTTTTTAATCATATTTTACATATAGATAATTTATTAAAATATGTAATTTGAAGGATTTCCTTGTGAGACAAAATGATATGAAGGAAAGGTTTTTTGAAATTAAAGTGATCTTCCGGTTCACAAAGTCATGCTCTCATTTCATATATAAGAATGAATTATAGTAAGAGCGTTTTTTTTTTTCAAGTCTTGAAGTGTATACTTATTTTGAAATATATTGCTAAAACAAACTGATTCAGTATAACTACCGCAGACTCTACATGTTGGATCCTTGTTATTTTATTTACTATATGGTTGGTTTTTATTGCATATAAAATGACTATCATTTTTTATTTGTTATACATTATTTGTTTGTTTTTTTTAATTAAAAAACAAAAAATAAAAAAACACTTAATGAATATTCATGTGGGTTTGTCCTTAATGAATACACATACTAAAAAACATCTTCATGTGCGCATACATATTCATGAGCATCTTTATAAACACACATTCAAGAACAATGACCACCCTTTGTCATCACTGTCGATTGCCACCATCGGCATTTGCCGCTCCACTACCAAACCGCCACCACCACGCGACAAACACATACATACTTGGAAATCAACTTTAGTTTTAGAAACAATTCAAAATTCGAACAACGTCAATCACCAACACCATCATCTGCTCCCACTAAAAATGAATTTTTAAAATGACTTCAAAATGCAAAACTAGGAAAACCTTCAAAACGTTTTCCAATTTGTGTCTATATATGTGATGACCTTCAAACGATTTTTCCTTCAACCCCTTCAAAATCAAAACCCTTCTACAACACACACAATAAACCCAACATGTAGCGTTTTCGATAGTTATACTAAATCAGTTTGTTTTGGCAAACCACATGGACCAATGACCAATCACATAGTTTTGTCTATATTAACCTATGAGCTATCACATAACCATATGTTTACTTTTGGCATTGGATTCCTATTAAAATGAACGTATTATAATAAAATGCGGTGATGTATAATAATGTAGATGTTATTTTCTAACATTTAGTCACAAGCTAAAGCTATTTCTGTTGATGTTTTTGTTTATGTCAAATCATATGTTATATTTCTGTCATGTCCCATGACATTACTACCTAATATGATCAAAGTTTTAATTCTTAATTCCATTATATGGTCAAGTCATTAAGAGATTAACACATATATCCCATTTATCACTTAATTGACCCGCCATTATCAACTAATGCCAACCACTTTATGAAGCTAATAATGTAATAATATCGGCGAATTTGGCACGTAGCTTTTAAGGGATTGTAAAAGCTTCAAGAAACCTGAAAAATAAAAAATATGCTTGGCGATAGGAGCTTTTAGCTTTTCTATTAAACAAAAAATTCATATCCAAAAGCTACTTCAAGTAACTTTTGTGAGCTTTTAGCTTTTGTTTTTTTTTTAATCTAACTTTACACAATTAAAAGCCAAAAGCTACAGTTTCTAGCTACTAACTTCCAACTAATTTTACCAAATATGTGCCAAACCAATTAATATCACTATTTTTGATTTTTATTGCTTGCAACTTTCATTACAAATAACAATGTAATTTTATCCTTGATATAATGATATTTTTGTTGAATAATACATGTTTATTGTTATAAATATAAATATTTTGAAGAGGCATTCCCAATTCCACTACTTAATTTATGACTTTATATAAAAGTAAACCAGGTAAAACCTGTGAATCCAAGGTTGATTGATTATCATCCTACAATTTGAATCGTTCATAAATTTAAAATATTATAGATCTATAAACCCTAATTGATCTATAAAGATTAGTTGTATTTTACCTCATGTGTTGGTTCAGTTTAGTTAAACAAAAAGTTGTGTGGCTCCCCTTTCTTGTTGTCTGTTTTTGTTGATGGCACAATAGACACACACACCCACGTACTCATCGTGTTTCCTTTATCTTTGTTTTGGACTTTTGCTTCTCAGATCATAGCCAAGAAAAAGAAGATATTTGTTACACTAAATGTATGAACAAGGATATATGATAATTAAGACTTAGTGAATGGTTATGGGGTATTGAATAGTCTAATACATGATATTATATATGCTTGAATAAATCTGTCTTCAAATATACCAAACAGATTGTTACTACTAAAGCTTTAGTTGCTACAAATATATTTTATTATTATCATAACTAATTACTAACACAAGATTTATAGTACAAGAAAAGCTCCACCACAGAGAAGGATTGCCAAACATATTGAACTGATCGTAGTCTTGATAGGAATCCTTCCTTTATCACTCCTTAATATCGTGGCTTCATATATTGGCAAACTATTCAATACCCCAAAACCAGCTATAATCAATTGCCCAAACAACTTCTCCACTTCCCAAATGCTCAACATTTGAATTATTCCAACTACCAACGAGAATAAACTAACAATTGATGCTGTTGCGAGGGGTAAAAACATTACGGAATGGACCCCAAACTCCATAAGACCCTGATCATATCTCTTGCTTTGTTCATCATCTTGCACTTTGCTTGTCACATTGAACCCTTGTGAAGCAATCCCTAAATGTTTAGCAATGTACTCAGCAAGTCCAAACAAGTAAGGCGATAATCCCTTAATTAACCATATCCGTTGATCATTCCACCATCTCTTAAACGTGCTTCCAAATAAGATGAAATCATAACAATCTTGTGCATATGCTCCAAGAAATAAAAAAACGTACAACAAGAACCATGGATTTGTCGCCTACAGTTAAAAAGAACATGTTCAAAGGTAATTAAATGGACTCGAACATATGTTTACAAATACCAAAAATTGAAATACGTACCTCCGGGAATATATATAATCCATTTAGAAGAGCGATTTGAGGGATAAATGAGTATATAACAATGGGAATTGACCAAATGGGCCAAAAGGCATAGTGTGCGTAACATAAACCCATGACATGACCCATGTATGGTGACCCGAAAATCATCGGTGTATACTTGGAGAAGCCAACCTCAAGAAGTCCGATAGCCCATCTTTTTGTTTGACTAACTGCATCGATGAGTGAGATTGGAACATCACCCAAAAAGGCCGGCCTACTTGGGTGGCAAAATATAGACTCCCATCCTTCACATTGCAATCGATATCCGGTGAAATAGTCCTCCACAAGTGACCCATAACGAAAGCCTAACTACACGTAAAAAAGAAGTCAAATATTTTCATATTATGTTATTACAAATAACAAGTTTCGAATTTATATGACTTACTTCGAATCCCCATTTGGTGTTGTTTTCGTAGTTACATTCACCCACATGGTGGGCCAATTCAATAATGGCTTCTGATGTAATGGGGTTCTCCACCACACAGTCTGGTCGGAGTTCTGGTATTTCTGGCAGCACCATTGACGTGGGGCCACCAAAGAAAACTCGACGACGGAAAAAGCAACCACTTCCGACATAAGAAGGGCCTTGTAAACCATCCATTCCAACAGGGTTTGCTACAAATAAACGCAAGAACTCGCCACCATAGATGTCATCTTTGTTGAGCCCATGATAACGTTGAGGAAACTGGATGTATCCTAATTGGGGTCGAACCGATGGATTGGAAATATAACACAACGCTCTTTTAGGCGTATGTGGATCATTAGAGTACATGTCACAATCTTGAGTAAGAACTATAGGTGCATTGGTCAGTACACCCGATACTCGAAGCTTAAAAAACATGAGTAATAATTAGATCAGAAAACTAAACTCAATTATTATGTAAAAACAAGTTTTAAAGTAAGATTACTCCATTACCATTTACAACAATAAGTCTTGATTATGGAAAAATAGATAAAAACATAATATATATATATATATATATATATATATATATATATATATATATATATATATATATATATATATATATATATATATATATATATATATATATATATAAATCAAAATCTGTCCTTATCAGTTTTGTGGGGTGAGGGGAGAATGAGGGGAAAATGATGTGTACCCTAACGTAACATGCCAAAAGTGTGGTAAGATCAGATATTACGTCCACCATCCTTAAGGTGTAAATTTAAGAGTAAAACACTATGATAATCCGTAATCCATTCTAAAAAAATACTAATAATAACAATTATTATTATGATTATTCTTATTGTAATCAATAATTGTGAAGGGTAATACATGACCCTTAAAATATTAATTAATTTATTTACTATTTGAAACACAGTCGGTAATTAAATTATGATTAGCAATGTACTTTATATATTATTAAATTTAATTGCTAATCCATGTATTATGTATTAAAATTGACAGGGATGTAATCTGTTTTGGAAGTAGACCGAAACCGGAATAATCGAAGACTAATTAAAGAATGAACATGGAATCGAGAATCGGATCGAACACCACTAAGCGGTTCCTGTTTTGGTCTATTAAAAGTGTGTTATCTAAGAAAGTGTTCGTATCGAAACCAAAATAAACGAAAACCGAAAATAATGGATTGATAGAATCAGGAACCAACTAAATACCACTAATCGGTTCCAATTCAACAACAGTATGTTGCTAGATCTGTGTATGATAGGATTATTAATGATTTATTTTAAATAGTTTAGTTAAATTAGATAAATATAACATAAACAATATATTAAAAAGATATACCATGAAATGATATATGTTTAAAAAATTATAGACAAAACTGCAAAAATGGTTACTGTGGTTTGCTGAAAATTACCACTTTGGTCCAAAAAGTTTTGCACTAGCATCACAGGTCCAAAGTTTTCATTTTGTTGCGAGTTTGACCCAATTTACTTTAAAATATTTTGTAATGGCGATTTTACCATTCTTTCTTGTTTTTTTTTTCAGTTTTTTTTTATTTATTTAAATATTTTCATAATTAAAAGAAAAATAAAAAAGAAAATAATTCTCTCTCTCTCTCTCTCTCTCTCTCACACACACACACACACACACACACACACACACTCTCTCTCTCTCTCTATTCCCCCATAAAGGACCATTAGTGTTTTTTAAAGACATAAAAGAAGGCAACAACCTCCATTACCCCAACACCACCGAGGACCACCTTGCTCCACCACAACATCACCGTTGCCACCGCCCATTGGCCCATTGCCTTCATCGATCAAACCTAACTCAACACCATTCCCTTCCTTCGTTTGACGCCGTACAACAAGAAAACAGGAAGCGTCATTGCAAGTAGAGGAGAAATCGAACACCAAGTTCGATTTTGGAGGGTTCGATCCTTGGTTCCTTGCTCATCGTAGGCCAGAAAGAGGATCGAGGGAGGTATCGGTGATTGTAGATCGTGAGGAGGGAGAAGTCTCCGGGTCGACGAGAGCTAAGCGATGCAGGTGGGAAGAACCAGCGAGCGGTTGTGATTTCACGGTTGTCGGGTCGTGGATAAGCAAGGGGAAACACCCTCGTTTTTTCATCTCCTTCATTATTCAATCCACTTCACACGTACATAAAAAAAAGCAAATAAGTTTTTTTTTAGTTAACGAACAAATATTCTAAATTTATGTCGAAACATTGACCATCTTGAATTTATACCGATACATACATAAAAAATAAACATGTAATAAATTAGTTTTATTTTATTTTATTTTATTTTTTTATTTTAACTTAGCGAATTTTACAAAGTTTAAAACCGATGGGGTCAATGACATTTTACAAAATCGAAGGGCAGTAACCATATACAAATTAGATTATATATACTACCAATGTTAAACACAAAAATTTAGAACATGAATAAATGAAAGTGAAATTTTAAAAGGTTCAAAGTTGAAGGATAAAAGCAAAATTTTAAAAAAAAAAATAGAGGTGGAAATAATGGGGGTTAAAGTAATTTAAAATTTTTTCCACTTGAAAGAATAAAAATGATATTTTACAAAATATAAGCTAGAAAATCTAATTTAAAAAAAAAAAAAAAAAAAACGGATAATATCAATAGATACAAAACAGAGAGGTTGGAAAAACCTATTGAAAATTCTCCCGACTTATATATATATATATATATATATATATATATATATATATATATATATATATATATATATATATATATATATATATATATATATATTATTTTCCGTCATTTGGTACTTTAAATTTAACAAAGGTAGAGTGACGAAATAGATGTGTTGAATGATAAGTCGAATATTCTTTTCTACAAGATAAATGGAATGGGTCGTGGTACTTTAAATTTACCAAAAGTAGAGTGACGAAATAGATGTGTTGAATAATAAGTTGAATATTTTTTCCTCCAAGAATACAAGATAAATGAAATGGGCGGGGCGGGGCGGGGCGGGGCCGGGTCCGGGTCAAAACAATCTTAATTTTTCTATATTTTTATGGAAAACACTACTGTGTTTTAGATATAACACATAACCCCTATATCATCTATCATAATTAGATTGAAACTGTTACTCTTTAATAGGAGTCGTTGAGAAATATAATTTCGTCATGATGTCCTGAATTTACTTTAAAATATTGCTAGTATTAATTGATTAGGCTTACCTAGACCACTAAGATGTGTTGGTTTACCAAATTTTAGATTGAAAATGTCATGTTTATCGATATTAATCAAATTATTAGTCATGTGTCCAAACATTTAACGCTACTAGCTTTATATCTATTTATTAAGAATATGGTCCAATAAAACTAAAGACGTCTTTTTGGACCAAAAAGAATGAAAACAAGTTTCGGAATCTTACCAATGTATTGAGAGCACCCGCCTTGAAATGGTGTGGGACGTTGATGTTTTTTCCTCTTGATACATACACAAGATTTGGCATGGAGTGCCCTTTCTTGTCCTTTTCTTTTCCACCATCTATCAATACCTATCAACAAAGAAATGATTAAGACCATTGAATGTTTAATGTCCTTTTGATATGAAAACTTAGCATTAATACATGAGATAAAACAAGTATAGGACCATTCATAAACATGGTGATTTGACCTATGGATAACAAAATCAAAGACCATATAGGATGACTACTTGAATCAATGGCTCAAGTTCATAATGTTTTATATTGTCTAATATGGTAGTCGGATCGATATATCATTTTAACCTATACATATAAAGTTAAAGAGCAAATATACCTGAATAATAGGAGGGTGATGTGAACGAGAAAACCCTGGGGTTCGATATTTGTTAAATGTTTGACGTTGTAGTTCGTTCATGATGTAATCGTGGCATACTTCACCTCTTTCAACCACATTCTCCACTTTCATCTTCATGCTCTCATAAATCGCCTGATGTAAAAACTCATGAACATCATCGATTATCGTTTAGAGGGAAAATCTATGAATCCGTACATCTCAGCTTACTCAATACAAACACGTTGTAGAAAAGAATTACGTGGTATTAACATAAATGCGCGCATATAATAACACATTCGGAAAAATAAAAATGATTCTCTACACGGAACATGTTCAATATATTATTTTAGAATGGCAATAATTTACTTCAAAAAAATCTAGCAAAAAGACAAACACAAAACTCAAAAAGGCTATAAAAAATCATATCTAAATTTGAGCAAATCATGACTATGTCAATCTCTAATTTGGATCTTGAAAATGTTTAAACCGAATCCAATTACAATTCGATACGTGACACTAATCAATCGATTTTAATTGGGCTGGTAAGTTTGATTGGACAAATTAATTTTTGGTGGTTCTGATATATGAATGTATGTGAGTGTTAGTGCGAGTGAAGTAGCTAATAAAAAAAATCATGCAAGAAGAACATATATAGATAATAAAATAGTTTTTAAAATCTTAGTTCTAAATATTACCTTAATCTCCTCACTCTCTAGCTCAGCTCTTCCATGGCGTTCAGAGCTGAAATATGCTTCCGGGCATCTATCCATGATATTATTATCCCGACAAAACGGCAGCCAAATCTTTGCAAAATTTACAGCCTCCATGAACGCAAAAAGAGTAAGCTCCGACCCACCATCGTCTGAAACATACACAGAAATCTTCTCCGGTGGATAGTCGTAAGCCATAAGAGACAGCGCAGTGTTGATTACGTTAATGGGTGGTTCCTTGTAGGGATCCGCCGTGCATATGAATATGTCCATGGCCGGAAAATCTTTTCTGTCGAGGACTTTCTCCAGGTTTTCAGGGAAGACTTGCCGGAGGATGGGGCGGAGGCGGAAGGAAGTGGTGGTGGCCCACATAAAGGCGAGGATGAGGTCGGAGATCAAGAGGGAGGTGGTGATGGCGACGGAGATGAAGGTAGTGGAGTGGCTGAGGGTGAGGAAATGGTGGTAGAAAAGGGCGACGATGGCACAAATGTAAATAATTGCAAATAGACGGTTGAAGACAGTGCATGGCATGTGCTTGTATGTGTGAAGAGGTGGTCCTAATCCCATGTTTTCCCTCTCGGTGTTTTCCAGTGTGTTTGGAGATGTTCATAGCCGTTAGTATTTATAAGTATTGAGATTGGGTCCTTATCCGATTATAAGGCTTATCAATTTATATGTTTATCTTTTATTTAAATTTAAAGATATTATTTTCAGGAGATAGTGCCCCTTTCCAAATTTATGGTAACACATATGTGACTTAAGACCCTACGCTTGAATAAATAATGGTTGGATCTTGTCGAACAAAGTTGTTAATTAGAGCTATTGATATGCTACGATCGTATCATATTAGCACACAAGATACGTAAAGGTTAGGTAGTTGGTTAATGGGCACTTTGATATGTGCATTATTATGTTTTCATAAAAAGATGGAAGATAATCCAAACTTCGCAGCAATATTCGTTATAATTGACTTTTATTTATAATCTTTTCTGTAAATTCAGAAGCAGCTTTTATGGTTGCATTGCTAGGAATAACTTTTTATTTCTTAATATTATGTCCAAGGGATCTCATACTAGTGTGGAAATCATCATTTTAGGCATTCTTATCACACGTGTCATTTTACTATGAAGTATTTGTGTGTCGATTATAACTAATAAAAAATCAGACGTCCACAACAATTCATATACTATAAAAAACTCATCACATGTAATAAGTCTTGTTGTCCTAATACATGAAGTATATATGTGAATTGCACAAGAACATTAAAAGTACAAGTGACTGATGCGTGTTACGCATTTGGTACAAGCTTAACCAGCATACACAATGTGAGTCCAAACAATGTAGAAGTTACGTTTATACTTCTATGCATTCTCCCATTATCAGTCCTCCATACCATAGCTTTATAAATGGGCCAAGAATTCACAAGCCCAAAACAAGCTAGAAACATTTGCCCAAAAAGTCCATTAACGTTTCCTCCTTTTAAAATTTGCAAAATGCCAAACACAAATGCAATCAAATTGACGATTGCAACCGTTGCTAAAGGCACAAACATTGGCGAGGGGACTCTAAATTCAAAAACCCCATTGTCGTATCTCTTGCTTTGTTCATTGTCAACCACTTTGTTTGTCACATGAAACCCTTTCGAAGCAATACCCAAACGTTTAATGGAGAATTCAATGAACCCAAATATATACGATGAGAGACCTCGTATGAACCACATTCGTTGGTCATTCCACCATTGTTGGAATGTACCCTGGGCCAACATAAAATCAAGACAGTCTTGAATGTTGGCCCCAAGAAACAAAAAAACGTACAAAAGAAACCAGTAATCTGTAACCTGCATTTCAATCATTGCAAATGTTTAATTAGGATATGGATTAGTATTGCAAGGAGTGTAGTAAATTTAGGTATATGCATACCTTCGGGAAGACAGATACACGATTGAGGAGTGCTAGTTGAGGGATGAAAGAGTATATATAGATTGGAATTGACCAAATAGGCCAGAACGCATTGTGTGCATAAGCAAGGCCCATTAAAGGGCCCATGAAGCGACTTCCGAACGTTAAAGGGTTGTATTTTGAAAATACAACCTCTAGCAGACCGATGCACCACCTTCTGTTTTGAGTTAGTGCATCGAATAGTGTAATTGGTAGATCACCTAAAAAGGCGGGTCTTCTGGGATGGAAGAATAATGACTTCCATCCCCTACAATGCTGATGAAGGCCCGTAAAAAAATCTTCAGATAATGATCCGTATCTAAAACCCATCTAAAAAAACAACAAAAAAGTCGGTATTTAACAGGTTAATAACACAAGCAAGAAAAATAATGGGCTCGATTTGGCTAACCTTTGAACCCCAAGAGGAATTATTTTCGTAATTTGACCCTGCAACTCCATGGGCCAAATCAAGAATTTCTTGGCTTTTAATGGGCTTTTTAACCACATGATCGGGCCAAAGTTCACGTGCTTCGGGCAATTCGGGTGATCCTGGCCCGCCAAAAAACACCCGACGAACAAAAAAGCAACCACTCCCAACATAACACGGGCCTTTAAGACCATCCATACCCCCGGGATTTATCACATAAAGACGTTTATATTCACTACTATAAATATCAGCTTTATTTATACCATGAAACCGTTGTGGGAATTGAATATACCCTAAATTGTGTCGGATTGATTCATCGGCATAAAAACATAGCATTTGTTGAGGCGTTTTTGGATCATTTGAGTACATGTCACAATCTTGAGTTAGGACTATAGGTGCATTTGTCATTATAGCCGATACACGAAGCTACAAAACCACAAATCAGAAAATAAAAGTACAATACTATTTAGAATATCGTTACTCCAAAACAATTAACATGTTAATTTCATAAACGGGTTTGAGATGTTCAAAAACACCGTTCTTTTAACAAAAGTGTCCTTATTTTAATTGTATTTTGTGAATAGAACGTTCTAATTGTTGACCTTGTGATAATACTTTTGTTAAACAATAATGTTTTAAAAAAAAACAAATAGTTTGCTACCCATATATGTTATTAACCTTGAAAAAAATCCTTAAAAAAATCCATGTACACGATAAATACTTACCAAGGTATTAAGGGCACCAGCCTTAAAGTTGTGTGGTGAGGCCTTATTTTTTTCCCTTGAAACATATATAAGATTTGGCATTGGATGCTCTTCAATGTCTCTATCTTGTCTACTTTCTAACAAAACCTGTTTCAGTTATCTTTATAAATTTTAATAAGTTTTATAAAGTGTAGCATAAGTTGTAGTAAATTTTATAGATTTTATAAAACCAACCTGAATAACGGCTGGATGTTCATGACGACTGAACCCTTTGCTCCATTTGTTGAAAGCTATTTGTTCCTCTTCATTTGTGATATACTCAGGATTTATGTTTCCTCTTTCGACTACGCTTTCGACTTTTATTCTCATTTTCTCATACATTGACTGATTTATAATAAGAATTTTGAAAAAAATGAGACAAAATTATATAAGGCAAATAGGATTTAGATGTAACCCACAAAACACATAAGAATTCAAGTCGATTATGAAAGCAATGTGCACTAGATAAGTCAATTTGGTTATATTTGTCTTTAACGAGTGAAAATGAGTAAAATAAACAAATTAAATAACATAAAAAACGGTTGAAAGTCATTTTAAAGTGCACACAAATTCTTACTATATGCTAATTGGTTTTGATGATATAAATCTTGTAACCATATCATATTATTATTTTTGTAACTATATTTAAGCCATATTATTGTAATCATATTGTCCTTTACCCAACCACATTTTGACTGTATATTCCACTTATTTGATGTGTCCATTTTGTTATTGTATAACATTCTCCCTCAAACCTATATTTTTATGCGAAATATTTATATAAGAAAATATAAAAAAAAAAAAAGTTTAATCAAATTCCGCACACCTCATGATTGTTTTACATTCATGATACAGTCTACTCTTTGAAAAGTGGTCGATAAACTTATTTCTAATTTTGAGGCGTGAATGCTAATTTCCAAAGTACAAGGATACTTCCGCAATAAAATCATAGTCTTAGGGACTATTCCGCAATTTTCTTTACAAATCATGACTAGATTCGCTGGTTTTTTGGCTTTATATGCCTACTTGATATTGAAAAGGCAAAATTATCGACAAAACAAGCAAATCAATATATATATACGTAAACTAATGATCATTTATTAACGTAATAAATACTTATTCAAAATAGAATAAAATATATTTTATATATTTTTTATGCCTACAAATATTAATACCCAATAAAATTATGATAACTGTCATCTTTCTATTTTTTTAAACTAAATCATTAACACTATATTAGGAATATATCAAATACAATTAAATTGAATGGTGATTTGTCATAATTTGAGTGGGTAGGAATAATTGTAGGAATAAAAGGTAGGAGGCAATTTAATTTCTCATTTTATATAGACCCCAAATCGAATTGTTTGGTGGACAAATTTTAAAATAAAAAACTCAACAAATGACACATGATGACAGGATAAGGCTGTCTGCGTCTAGTCATACTCATATATACTCGTCTGTTACTTTCAATTTCATAAATTCGTAACTACACGTTTGATATGTATGTATGTCTATTAAAAAATCTGTATTTTATTCGTCAACTATCAAACAACACCTACCTTAATTAGGACATTAAATTTAACGAGTTTTCGATAATATTTGTGATAGTCATAAAATTTAAGGCCAAATATTTATATTGTGTTTTAAAAGAAATTCAATACCTTTCCAATTTCTCCTATGAATACTTCAATAACTATAGTACAACTTTAAATGTGTAATGTAGAATTATTGTCATATACCTTGATCTTGGCGCCGTCGGAAAATGTAATGCCGTTTGATCGGAAAAAAGCTTCCGGGCATCTGTCGGTGATGTTATTATCCCTACAAAACGGCAACCAAATCTTTGCAAACTTTGCAGCCTCAAAGAAAGCAAAAAGTGTAAGCTCAGAGCCACCGTCATCGGAGACATACACAGAGATCTTCTCCGGCGGATAATCATAAGCCATCAAAGACAACGCCGTGTTCACCACATTCATTGGCGGCTCCTTGTAGGGATCTGCCGTGCAGATGAATATGTCTAACGCCGGAAAATCTTTTTTCTCAATAACCTTCCCAAGATTCTCGGGAAAAACTTTCCGGTCGGTGGGGAAGAGTCTGAAGGAGGTGGTGGTTGTCCACATGAAGGCAAGGACGATGTCGGCGACCAAGAGAATGACGGTGGTGGCGGAGGAGATGAATGTGGTGGAATGGCGGAGGGTGAGGAGGTGGTAGTAGAGCAAAGCCAAGATGGCGGAAGCGTAGATTATGGCGAATGCGCGGTTAATGGTGGTGCGGCGGAGGAGGTGGGAGGTGTGAAGCGGTGGAGTGGCGGCGGTGGCCGGGTGAGGAGTGGGTGACATTATAAATGCACTGAAATGATCTGACCAATAAGGATACAGTAGAATATCGTTACATAATTTGACATGCTATTTACAATCTTTAGGAGTTTAAATAGCCTAGAAGGTTGGAAAACGTTAAGAAAGTTTATTTGTTAAAATTTGTTGTTTTGTTTATTACATTTTGATATTTTTAGTTATAATTTTATATTTATATTAGTCTAACAAAAAAAGTTTTAAAATATG